GGGAACCAGTGGGCCACGTTTGAGCCTATTACCACTTTCCCTATGGTCCAATCCCATCTGTTCCCAAGAGACTTACTCAGTTGGTGGAAAACATTGAACACAATCCCTCTTAAGGAAGTAACGTGCTGAAAGTTCTGACTTCACTTCTAGCTTGAGGCAGGAGTGGCTAGTGAAACTTCATCCCCTTTTGGAATATTGGGCATGAGATATAAGCACCAGAGACACTGAGTCTCATTGTCACTTATAAAACTATCAAGAAGATTTCCTTGGCTACCATTAAGGTAAGTAAAATGGTTGTCTGAAGAGAGGAGAGACAGACTGGAACTCCTGAGGGAGAGAGATGAGTCTTTGGTAAATAAAAAAGAGAATTGAAAAAGAATGATAAAAGGGTGATAAGGAGAAGGTGGTGGTAGTGGGAATGAGGAGACATTGTTAAGGATTGCAGTATAATTAAAAGGGTAGAAAAAATAATTCTACATAAGGGGAAGAGCCTAATTGAACTAGGGAAACACTGATGAGTCTGTGGTGACACTAATATTACTGGAGAGACACTAAAGGGATGGAGAGGTAATGAGAAGTTTGGGGATGGACTGGTGGGGATGAGAGGAAAATAAGGAGATAAGTATTAACATATTTTATGAATGGGGAGAGAATAATACAGGGTAAGAAACAAAAACAAAAGTACAGTATACTGCTAACGATGGGGAAGGAGTGAATGAAATGGAGAGATAGTAAGGGGGCTCTGGTGACAATGATGGTAGTAGTGAAATGATGGAGGTGAAGAAATAGAACAACATATGAGATAGTGACGAAGTTGGGAAATATAAAGAATATTGAGAATGCAGCAATGGGGAGAAACAAAGGTACTGAAGATAAGGGAAGAACTATGTAAATGAGGAAAGAGAAAGAAGCATGTGGAATCAATAATGGGAAGATAATATAAAATGATGGTCCTGGGTTACAAGAGAAGTAATATTGGGAAACAGGAAGATAAGAAGACAATAATGTAAATACTGGACTTGTTCAATTAACAATAAATTGATCAACAACAATATCTTGAACACCAAGTAAGTACCAGGGCCTGTGCGATATAGTTTTGAGGAAGGAAGAATAGAAATAATTTAAGACACAGATCCAGGTGTCCCAAAACTTACAGCTTAGTTGGTAAAATAAGTCCTAGCCATGTGGAAAGATGAACAAAGCTTTGGTAGATCTGTGTTTTCATCCAAATGTATATTTCCTCCACTTGTGCAAAGTACACATCCCATTTGGTTCTTTCTTACGTCCTTCCATAAAACTTCCCTAGAAGAACTACCTAACAAGCTTTCTTTAGGTCTTTGGATGTCCATTCATTTTCCTTCTCTGTCGTCAATATCTGGCACACATCAGGTTCCAGATATTTATGCAAGAGATAAAAAAACCATTTACTGAATGGTTTTCTAAGTGACTTTCTGAGACAGCACATGGTTGATTCCTAGAAAGTGGAAAGAATGGTTAGGTTTTAGTGCAACAAAACAGCAGGCTAATGTGACCCAAAGTGAGTCCGTATCACTCTGAGTACTTCTCAGTGATAGATAGTAATCCTTCATCTATGATCTTTCTACTTTATTTGTCTGAGTTTCTATTAGAAGTTATAGCAGGTGAATGAGAAAGATATAATAGCAACCCCAGGTGGAGGCAATAGTTGTGTAGTAATTGTGCTAAGCCACAAGCTAGAATCTCTGTGAAGCCAGGGAAAAAGATGTCTCAAATCAATGAAAGGAAGGAGGACATAAGAGCAAGCTGGAAATAGCTCTGAGATCTCCTTTTTTAATATTTCTATAACTTTGCATTTTAAAAGGAGGCGTCATCACAACAACATTGTGAGGAAAGAAATGCATTACCATAACTGCCTTTTTTTTTTTTTCAGATGAGGAAAATAATAAGATCGTAGAGCTGTGAGCTTGGTCATTTAAACCTAGGCCCTCCCAAAGTCCAGTTACCCTTCCAGTACATTAGCCAGTCAGCTAACAAGCATTTATTAAGCACTTGCTATATGCCAGGAACTGTGCTAAAAACTAGAGATAGAAAGAAAGGCAAAACATGGTCCCCATTCTCAAAGGAGCTCATATTCTAATTGGGATGACAATGTACCAAAAAACATACATACAAGATATATACCATATAAATGGGAGGGAATTTCAGAGGAAGGCACTGGCAGTGCGGGGAGAGGAACATCTGACTATCTTAAAGATACACATGTTCCCAAAGTTTTCATTGTCTTCACCCATTTTTTCCCTTTACATTGAAATTACCAAGTACTGTGGTAAGTCAAGTCAGCAAGTATTTATTAAGTGCTTACTAAGTGCTGATGATAAAGAAAATTAAAAAAATCCAATGCTTTCAAGGAGCTCACTTTCTAATGGCACAGGCAACGTGCAAACAACTATGTACTTATAAGTATGTACAGGGTAAATTACAGATGATCAAAAAGGAATGGCACAAACATTGAAGGGAACCGGAAAGGCAGTTTGCAGAAGTGAGATTTAAGCTGAAATTTGAAGGATACTGTGGAAGCTGGAAAATGGAGATGAGGCGGGGGAATATTCTAGATATGGGGGACAGCCAGTGAAAATGCACAGATATAAGTGCTCTGTTTGAGGAACGGGAAGGAGCATAGTGTTACTGGATTGTAGAGTATATAAAGGAGAATAAACTATAAGACTGGAAAAGTAGGAAGGGGCTAGGTTGTGAACGGCTTTAAAGCCAAACATAGGACTTAACATGTGATTCTGGAGGCAATAGGGAGTCACTAGGGCCTATTGAATGAGAGAGAGTTGCCAAGGTAAGACCTTTGCTTTAGAAATATCAATTGGGGGCAGCTAGGTGGTGCAGTGGATAGAGCACTGGCCCTGAAGTCAGGAGGACCTGGGTCCAAATTCGGCCTCAGACCAAACACTTGATACTTACTAGCTGTGTGACCCTAGGCAAGTCACTTAACCCCAATTGCCTAAAAAGAAGAAAAAAAAGAGCTTGAAGGCAGTCTAGAAGGCGATGAATTGCAGTAGAACAGTGGTTATTAACCTGAGGTTCATGGAATTCCAAGGAGTCCATGGATAGATTTCACAGTACCTGTGAGTCAATCTGAGATTGGTTGGACTGTTCAGCTATAGCTTATATACAAGAAATAAAGAATAATGATAAACAAATTGTACAATAATAAATACATATCCAGCTGTACCTCAGACTGAAATTCTCCAGGAATGGCACTAGGTCTTCCTATATACAACCTGCAGAAGGGAGTCTTTAAGAAGATAGACAACATGTGGATGGAACCCTACATTCTGAGTGACCCAAGGCTGTTCCAATTGTTGAGACTATAAGGAAAACAGCAAAAATATGAAACAAAACAAAAATCTGTTATGTTTGAAATGAATGCTTAAGGTATTGTCATTACCCAAAAAGGGGACTGAAAAACCACATAACAAGTTTGCTTGCTTGTTTATTTTTCCTTTAGGATATTGACTTGATGGCAAGGGTGTGCTAGAGCCAGCTTGAACTTGTTCAGAAATCTGACTGTTAAATTTCTAGTTAAATTTCCTCAGAAATCTCTAAATGCTTTAAATCACGAGTTGATTTGTTGTTTTGTTGATTGTCTAGACTTAAGAAAGTGATGGATAAAATTTTAATAATGCAGATTAAATTTAACATTTACCAACACACCCTTTTTGATATATTGCTGAGTTCAAATAAAGTAACAAAATTCTAGGAATTGCAAAAAAATCAGAAAATGTTCCCCTGTACTGCTCTACAGGATACTCTAGAGTGTCTTCTTTCAGACACATGGAAATTAGGCTTTGGGCCCTCTTATGTAGTCCAGAGACTCCTTGTTAGCTTTCTGTGGTAAAATACATGGCAGGATTTTGAAGGAATGGGGTATTGAACAGGGAAGGGTCTATGGCATAGGCAGAAGATGTCTAGAAACTGATGTGATTGATGTCTGGGGTGGGGGTGGGGGTTTAGATCTAGAAGGTAACCACAAGACTAGTGGATACTAACCAGACTTGAAGAGTCATTAATAGATGACTGTCATCTTGGAAAGAGGTCTCTACTTTAGCATCTCAGGGATTAAATATCCTTTATTTGTGCTATTGAATATTTAGATCAAGGAAATTTGTGAAAACATAGATAATACACTTATCAACTTCAGAGATGACACAGTGTTGAGAGAGGGAGCTATTGTGCGGGTGACAAAGTTGGGATCCTATGGACTATATCCAATTAGATTAAAAATTAATAGGGAAAATAATTAAGTACCACTTAGACTTAACAAAAATCCAATGCACTAAGCACCTAGGGAAAAAAAGAGACTAGAAGTAGATAGAATAGACAGAAATAGAAAGAATAGATTATCAGTTCCGCACGACCAAGAAGGAGATTTTTGTTCAGGCATAAGTTGAACATGGCTTCTGAATTTCCTTCCAACTCTGAAAATCTGTCATTCTTTGTTCCATTTCTTTTAGCCTAAAATGTTTTGTTTTACAAAATCCTGCCTAAACGTTTATAATTTTATATTCAATACAATAGGAAAAGAGAATTTTGAAGCATTACTACTTTTATAACTTCATACAAAGAGTAATACTAACAACACAAGTTGGGTTGTTTCGTTATGGAATAAGGCAATGGGAATGGGATTTTATAGTCAGAGGGCATGGGTTCCTCTCCCAGCCCTGCTGCCTGTGTGACCTGGTACAAGTCATTGAATATTCTGGGTATATGGTTCCTCATCTATGAAATAAAGAGGTGGATTAGATAACCTTCAAGGGGTCTCCCAGCTCTAAATCTATAATGATCCTCAGAGCTGTAAGTGACATAGGGGAGTAGTTAAATGAATATGGGTGTTTTTTTTTCTTCTTTTCTAGGTAATCAAGCAAAAGAAGGAAGAGGAGAGAGCAAAACATACTGTTACACCCATGGATATAACTAATCAAACCACCTTCCATCCAGCTCTCATCATTTTGATGGGCATTCCAGGCTTCGAGAAACTACAGTTTTGGATCTCCATCCTCTTCTGCACCATGTACTTGGTGGCTTTTGTGGGTAACTTCTTGCTGACCATTCTTGTCTGGGTAGAGCGCAGTCTCCATGAGCCCATGTATCTCTTCCTGGCCATGTTGGCTATGACAGACTTCCTGATCTCCAATACCATCATGCCAAAGATGCTGGCTGTCTTCTGGTTCCAGGCTAGGTCCATTTATTTCCAGGCCTGCCTTACCCAGATATTCTTTGTCATTTTCATTTTTATCATAGAGTCAACGGTCCTTTTGGCCATGGCATTTGACCGCTATGTGGCCATCTGCTTTCCACTGAGGTACACCATGATCTTGACCCCCTCTGTGATCAGGAACATTGGAGGATTTTCTGTGGCCAGGGGCCTGCTCTTCACCTTTCCTTTTGTCTTCCTAGTTGATCGGCTACCATTCTGTGGAAACAACATTATTGCTGATACTTATTGTGAACAAACTAAGGTCTCTAGGCTGGCCTGTGGAGATATTACTGCAAATAACATTTATACACTGGTGATATCACTCTTGTCCACAGGCTTAGATGTCTTACTCATTTTCATCTCATATGTGTTTATTCTTCAAGCTGTCTTTCGACTCCCATCCCGTGATGCCCAGTTGAAGGCTCTAGGCACTTGTACTTCACATGTGTGTGTCATCCTTATGTTCTACCTGCCTGCCTACTTGACAGTGCTGGTCAGCCACCTGGAATGTGGAATCCTGCTGGCCAATCTCTATGTGGTTGTGCCTCCTGCGTTGAACCCCATCATATATGGCGTCAAGACCAAACAGATCCGGGATATTGTCACATCCAGGCTCTCCAGGCTGGGTCTGGGTTGCTGAGCTAAAGTTTTCCAGGAAAATTGTGCAACTTAAAATATTCTATGTGAATCACTGTAGGCCATAAATACTGATTAATTGTTTCCAATTGAAGTGGTCATTGTAGATTGAAGACATTTCTTCTCATTTATATAAATGATCTTAATAATAATAATATCTAGCATGTTTATAGAGCTCAGTGATTTACATACTACTTTACATATTTGCATCTCACAGCATCTAATTCAATTATATTTGATGACTCAATAATTCAAATATATGTGATGAGAATTATTCCCATTTTACAGGTGAACAATCCAAGACTGAGATATGTTAAGTGACTTTCTCCAAGGTCACCTAGCTAGTAAGTGTCTGAGCTAGGGATAAAACTCAGATCTTCATCACTCCAAGTCCAGTATTCTATCCACTGTGACACGCAGTCACCTCTAGAATTATCCTTGTGTGAAACTAGTGCTATTTGTTATAAATTCAATTGTCCACTCAGAAATGTTTCCCTTATGGAGGGGTTGTGGAAATATCTAACCAAGTGCCCAAGCGGTGATCTTGTACGTGGGAATGTGAGAAGTTACAAGTTGTCTGAAGAAAATTACAAGCAAAAGGACACTTGTGCAATTAACATCCACAGCTTTAAAGTGAAGAGTCTACTTCCAAGTGAGTTTTCCCATGATGGATGTGGATCCAGCTTCATTTGTATCATGCTTATGTTGATGTACGATACCTCCGTCTACAAGAACACCTGTGGCAGTTTTTGGCAAGGGGAAGGAGGAGGAGTTTTCTGAGGAGTTTCATCAGCTCATGCTCATTAGTTATGTCTATGTTATGCAGGAGATCAGGGGTCTCTGGGGACCTTCCACTACTCTTGTGTGTCTCTCTATTTCAGAGTTAAGGAGTCTAATTACTGTGCAGGAACAAGCACCAAAGTTCAAGAATTCAGAAAGAATGAGGAATACAGAAATATTCTCGAGGGCAAATCTGAGGTCGGCATTATGAAGTGACTCCTTTGTCTATCCCTCCCTCCTGGGAATTTCTTATCACAGATAATGATGGAAAAATAAACGTTGACATTTATATTATTTAACTATATAATCTGTTATTATAATAATGCATCATGTATGACACATTACATTGGTATTTTATATTGAAATGTATACATAATATTGCCCTTGTATATTATATACTGTATTATCATAATATCACATTATTATATAATATGAAGCTTGCAACACTCCTTTACAAGCATCATATCATTTAAGTCATGAAATCATGTTTGTATTGAAGGTATATTTGGGGGGAAGCTGGATATAGTTTAAAAATCATTGCATATGATGTCTGGAAGACCTGGATTTCGGTTCTGATGAAAATGCTTTCTATCTGTGTGACCCAAGAAAGTAATTTAATCTCTTTCAGGCTGTTTCCTCATCTTTAAAATGAAGACAATAACATTATACACTTCACAGATTTGTTATGAAGTTCAAATGAAATAATACACGTGTAGTGTTTTGTAAACCTTAAAAATGTTATATAAATGTTCTCTCTCTCTCTCTCTCTCTCTCTCTCTCTATATATATATATATATGCACATACACATATGTATATGTATGTATGTGTATATATATATGCATATATATATATATATATATCATATTATCTCCATTTTCAAGATGACATTGACGTTCAGAGAAGTTAAATGATTGCCTGCGGTCACACAGTATGAAACTATCAGAGACGAAATTTGAATTTTTCAAGCATAGTACTTTAACTGTCTGTATTGCTTTTTAAGTAATTTTTAAGGTCCATAATCATAATTCTTTCTGGCATTCATTGAAATGAGGAATGGACATATTATTTTAATGGACATTATTAGATCCCTTGAGTGCTTCTCTTTTTGGTTCTTTTGAGCTACAGTATCATTGATCCCACTCATTCTTTTTTTATTTCCTGGGCCTAGGGCCTATAAGTTTCAACCACTTCTTAGATCTTCACCCTTTTCTCCCTCAGAACAGAGTACAGAGTAGGACAAAGGCAACCATGGACATTAATGGCCTAAGGAGTCACAAAGGATTAAAACACATATTTACATCTCATAGCAAACTCCAGATTTGTATCACCTTCACATAGGAAGATTTTTCCATAGGAAATGTGGCACAGGCTATGTTCTAATATTCCTTCTCCATGAAACTGTAGCTTTTCAAGTGTTGGACAACTCACATGACTTATAATTCATCATTTCCCCCCCAACATGGCAAAGATATTGATAAGTACAATAAGAACTGTTGAATAAATGATTCATCTGAGTGTTTATTAATGCATGGATATAACTTGAAATGAGGACTCCATTGGTAATCCCAGTTCTCCAATGTGAGATCTTTTCTGCTTAACTATTTTGCCACTGAATTAGATGAAAGTATAGGGATATTTCCATTGCATAAACATTTATTATTTCAGTTATATTCAATGAACATTTATCTTCTACATACTAAACCAAAATTTAAAATAGCCTCTGGTCTCAAGGTATTAGATACACAGTTTAGCTGAGCATACAGAATTGTTTAATAAATGATTCAGTTGAGTGTATATTTAATGCATAGTTGTAAACTTGAAAAGAGGACTGTATTAGTAATCCCCATTCTCCAATGTGAAATCTGTTTTGCCAAACTGTTTTATCAACGAACAGGATGAAAACATAGACAGATTTCCATTGTATAAACATTTATTAATTCAAGTGTATTCAATGAGCATTTATTAAGCATCTACTATATGCTAAAACAAAACAAAAAATGGTCTCTATTTCAAGCAGCTTATATTCTACTGGTAGGGATGGAGGAGATAAAATATTAACACAGATAAGTAAGTTCAACATAATTTGAGGAGGGCACTTGTGGTACACAAGTTGAGCCTTGAAAAGCAAGAATTCTAAGAGATGAAGGTGAGGAGGAAATGTATTCCAGTCTCTCTTTATAGCCTATGTGAAGGCATGAATATGAGAGATGAAAAGCCAAGTTCAAGGAAAACAAAGTGGGTATGTTTGTCTGGAATACAGAATACATGATGACAAGTAATGAGAAATGTGTCTGGAAAGATACACTGGAACCATACACTGAAAGGTTTTAAATACCAAGTTGAGTAGTTCCTATTACAGAGGCAATGGTAGCCATTGAAGATTATTGAATGACAGAATGATGTGATCAAAACTACATGTGTAGCTATGTAGAGAATAAATCAAAGAAGGAAATATATTAGGAGCAGAGAGTCAAATTAAGCCCCTTTTGAATAATTAAGGGTAGCAATCTTCCCTCCTCTCCATCCCTGCAAATCACCTTTTCTGTCCAATCTCTTCAGCAAACCCTCATATCTGCATAGTCTCTTCATCCTGTTCCTTTCAAGAACTTTTAGCTTATCACTGTCCTTAAAAGTTGGCACCCAAAACCAAACACAGTGTTCCAGATGTGGTCTGACTAGGGCAGAAGGTGATTGCCTCTATCAATATTATGCTTCTATTAATGCATCCTAAGCTCTCATTAGCTTTTTGATTTCCATATCATATTATTGATTTTCATTGAGACTGCAGTTCACTAAAACCCCACATACTTTTCACATAATTAGTATACAGTCACATCTTCCCCATATTATATTTGCACAGGTGAATTTTTCAATATAACTATAGGACTCTACAATTATCCCTATCACTTGGCATCTTATTAAATTCAGTTCATCATTCTAGCCTGTGAAGGTGGTTTGGGATCTTGATTCTGTCACATAAATTAGTTTATTCCACCTAAAAGAATGGATAAATGAAAGAATATCCAAAACCAAAAATGCCCAATGATGGAATAAATTGTGAGTTCTCCGTAGCTGGAGATCTTAAATAAGTGCACAAAAATTTTTATTGGCTTTGTTGCAGAGAGGACTCATGATATTCCATCAAACCCATCAAATGAACAATGAATTTTCATTCTAATATTTAATGTAATAGAAACAGCCAAACCACATCAAAACCAATTTTGATTTTACCCTCTTCTACTGTTTCCAACATCCCCATCTAGCTGAGGGGAGATTCTCAGCAAATTACCTCTCTCCTCCCCACTGCCCAACAAGAAGATAGGAAAGTGTTAATTGTCTTGATTTCACTTCTTTTGAATCAGAGATGAAAGGTGGCTATTAAAACTCCATCCTCATGGGAAATGTTAAGCATGAGACCTTAATATAAGTGACTCAGAGCCTCATTGTCCCTCATACCAGAGATCCTGTCACTAACCAAGATAAAATCACCATACCAACAAGTGAGGTGAGTGATATATCTTTCTGAAGAGTTAAGAGAAGGACTTCTAATGGTTATGGATGAGTCATAGACAAACATAAAGAAAATATGAGAAGAATGGTGAAAGGGTAATAAGAGGAGGGAAAATGATTGGTATGGGGAGGAATGCTGGAAATGGAGAGACAATGGGAAGATAAGGAGAACATCTGAGGGATAATGATGGGGATAAAAGGTAATGAGAAAAAGGAAAAGATAGATACAGGGATGTAAAAACAGAGGTGGGAATGAGTCGAGAGAAGGATTATGGAAAGAGAGGAGTGAGGTGAGATAGAAAGGATGGGAAAAAAAGTGATTGAGTTGGGAAGAGAGATAATGTAAATACAATAGGCAATCAATTCTTAAGCAATTTATCAACTAGGAATTTGGCACTTGCTAAAAGCTATGCCCCATGTTTGTTGTTGGAGGAGGAGAAATAGAGCAATATAAAGATACTTTCCCTTTCCTAGAACTTGCAGTCTATCCAGGAAGGTATTTTGTAACCACGTGAACAGAAAAATAAGCAATATTTTGGCATAGATAGATCCGTGATCTCATGCATGTGGGAACTCCTTCCACCATGGCAGATCAGAACCCATCCAAGCCTACTTGGGCTTTGCAAAGCATGTACATTTTCTCTCATAAATCTCTGGAGAGGGGAAAAACTATGACAAGAAGGAGAGTACTCTTTTAGGTCTTCTAATGTCCC